GACTCCTGTTCTCGTAATCAATTTAACAATATAAACAAGGGTATCCATTTTAAAAAAAATAAGATTGAATATTCGTTAAATTCAATTTTATGCCAAAAAGTTGCATGTTCCTGCAGGAGCATACTGTCTGTTTACTCATTCGAGTAATATCTAAATTAGTAGTAACTTTAGGACCCTAATGACGGGATGTAATCCCTTCATCCTAATAACAAATCTCAAAATAATAAAGTAATTTCAAATCACAATCTATGCCTCCAAACATATAATATCCTAATATTGAATGTAGACTGTCTAATTTTTGGAGAGTGGGATCTAGGTGTTGAAAGAACTCAAAAGCCTTTTTTTTAAATAATAATAATAATAATAATAGTAATAATAATAATATAGTAATTTTAGGTGGATCCCTTAAAATTTCAAATTAAAAAAGTCCTCCCAAGTAAATTTTCACCCATTGAAATAATGGTACACTGTGCTCCCACAAAATTATAATTAGAGAAAATTACGTAAATATCTATTTTAGTTTATGTTATTATAAAAAAACTGAATACTTTCCATTATTATTAATATGTCCGTTTTTTGGACTTCATAACAATTTTTTAAAACAATTTTTTAAAACAAGACAAAACTACCCATTTTTTGTTTTTAAAAAACCAAAATCATACCAATTGTGGTTTTTGAAAAAAAAAAATTTTAAATTTTCGGTTCTTTAATAAACAACTTTTTTTTGTGGGTCCTCGACGTATTCTCTCCACCTCTCTCTCTATATAACACAGTAAAAATGGTGTTTTTTGGGAACTCTCTGTCTCTCCCCTTCAGCCAGCTGAGTCATATTGAGAGGGCTTATCGAAACCAATCGAAGGTCTATAATGACATTTTGCAGCTACGAATTTACCTTTGAACCAGGCCAAGAGAGCATTGGCTGGTTGGATTGGCTGGTTGCAAAACTGTTGGGAGATTGAGTTGGTGCAGGATTGGGTGGTTGAGGAAGGGCACGTTGGTTGGTGCCCTTAATGGAGGGGAGAGAGAGAGATAGGATTGGGGTGTGAGAGAGAGGAAGGGAAGCCATTAAAGGTTTGGGTTGAGACCTCGTTTGCCCATCATAGATGGAGAGAGAGAGGTTAGTCGGTTAAATTTACTAGAGAGAGAGGTTAGTCGGTTAAATTTATGACAGAGAAAAAAAAATTTAAAATTCGGTTTTTGAACTTGATTAGTCAATAGAGAGAGGTAGAGAGAGAATCATTTTTTCGATTCCTCAATAATGGAAAACTTTAAATTTTTGGTTTTTAAAAAACTGAAAAATATAAATTTTTCGGTTTTTCAAAAACCGAAATTGGTTTGATTTTGATTTTTTTAGAAAAGCCTAAAGTGAGTAGCTTCATTATTTTTATTTTTATTTTTTTGAAATTAGTATGAAGTCCAAAAATTCAGTATTTTTATAATAATGAAAACAAAAATAAATATTTACATAATTTTCCCTTATAATTATGATGCACCCGCACCTTAATTTACTGAGCGTCTAGTTCATTACTGAACTCTTAATGATGGTATTAAATGATGTTAGCCAAAAAGTTATAGAAAATGTTATTAAATAGTCCAAAGTACCTCAGAAAAAGACTTTATAAGCAAACAATCTTATAATATAGAAAATAATGTGCTCTACAAAAAGGGTGCAGTTTCTATAATGTGGCAACCTTGAACAATCCAATTAGGGTGAACTTCCAAATTTATAATAATATGTAATTTTGGTATAAAACATTCGTAAGATCATCTGAAAAATCTATTTTCATAGCTAATTATAAAATTTTAAACTCCAAAATGGTTAAAATCAAGTAGATATATAAACATATGAAAATCTAGAAAATGGATGGTCTAGATAATGTGTTGCAAGATATACTATTTTTGGGATTCAAAATTTAAATTTTTTTTTTTCATAGTCATATATCTTGATGGCGAGATGATCAATTAAAGTATTTTTCAACATTAAAACAACTTATTTCGATAGATTGTTTAGGTACATCTTTAATTCAACAGCTTAAGGTTGTAACCTCATACAAACTTTTTCCCTACAAAAATGTACGTGAGAACGTTGTTCCGATAAAGAAAAACCCTACAATTGATCATCTCGGTATTAAGACATATAGATATTTAGAAAAAGATTTCAAGTCCTAAAAATAGTGTATCTTTTAACACATTATCTAGACTACCGATTTTAAAAAAAATTAAGTATTTGTAGATCTACTCGATCTACACCATTTTTAGAGCTTTAAATTTTTATAATCAACACTAGAAATAGATTTTAGGTTATTGTAAAAGTTTTTGGCACTGAACCACATCATTTAGCAAGATAAAAAGAGTAACTTAATTTGATTGTTTAAGATTGGTGCCTTGTACAAATGACACCAAAAAATTATCGCGGTGGTTAAATCAAACTCCTTATTCTCCCAATTATTTCACGATAGATTTATTTTCTATTTTGTTTTTCAAGCGGTATAAAATAAACGCTCAAATATTTCACCTTACCTCTTTATTTTTTCTTTTCTACAGTTATTCATTGTTGAGCACAAAAATTAGCCTCAATAAATTATTTTATTTTATCTTAATTCAAAAACTTTTTTAATCCTATTTTATACTTTTTTAATTCTGTATTAATTTTGTCAAAAAAAAAAGAGAATTTAATTGTGTTTATGCAAAATTAGGTTTAAAAAGATTTTTGGATTGAGATGAAATAAATCAATTTGTTTAGGCTAATTTTTATGGCTAAAAGTGAATTAACGTCAGAAAAAACAGATGAGAGAGTATGGTAAATATGTGAAGGTTTTTTTTATGTCGTTTAAAAGAAAAATAAAAAGAAGGCGTACCGTGAAACAAGATAAGAAATTAAACCGTGAAACAAGATAAGAAATTAAAGGCCTGCATGAAATTTTCCCTTAAAAAAGTTATTAAATTTGATTCTCTCTCTTCTAATTCATACACTCTCAGCATCTTTACTCCCTCGATACTTTTTTTTTAGTAACTCTCCCTCTCTTTCTCTTCTTTTTTACTCTACCCTCTCTCTCTACCCCCTCCTGCTCTCTTTTGCTTGCAGGTCTGTGCACCCCTTCTCTTCTCCTTTCCTCCCTCTCTCTCCCCCCTGTAGTCTCTTTCTGCTTCTAATAATCTATCAAGCCCTCCACTAAATCAGCCACACTGGCTCAGGTTTTATTTGGCTAACAAATCAAAGCCAAGAATGGGTATGTAGATTCTTTCCAAGAATGGGTTTTGAAGACCAAGTAAATGGCTCCGGATTCCATCAAAGAGCAAGAAACAACAAAATCAAAATTAGACATGTTGATTCCTTGCCCTTTTTTTTTTGGGATAAATCCAAGTTTTTGTTTGAGCTATGAAAAATTTAATCTCCCAAATTTTTGCAATGCTTACTATAAATTGGGTTGTAAAGAATGGGTTGTGTATTTTTATTTTTCTGAATTTTTTGGGTTGTAGGCTTCATGAGCTCCTAGTTTAAAAAAAATAAAAATAAAAATAAAAAAATCAATTTTATTTTTTTAATTATCCCGATAGGAAATTAATGTATGTTGGGAAAAAAATATAAGGTCTAAAACCCTGGTCGTGATTTTTGTAATGTGTACACTAGAAAAAAAGTTATAGCCAATGGGGTTGTGGGTTCGTTTTTATTTATTTTTATATGTCGTCGATTTGTGAGCGTCTTTTCTATAAAAAATTTGAAAATTTTTTTTGGATGAAATCTGTGATTTTTTTCTCAAAAAAAGGAAAAAGACGGGCCTAAGAGGCAATGGACTGGACTAAACCCGAGAGCTGATGGGTATACCTGACCTAGGCTCCGGGTATAGGTCTAACTTTTGGACTCGAATATTATTAGGTCCGAGTCCAACCAGAACCGACCTGTACCATAGTCATATATGATGGCAATCATGTATCTTTAGGCATTGATTACCATCTTTAAGCACATGCTAGGTGTTTATATTGTTCACAATATTGGCAATATTTACAAATATCATTGGTAGGGGTGGCAATAGATTCAGACCCGATCTGGGACCCATCAGGTATGGGTCTAGCATTTGGGCTCAGTGGGTCGGGTCCGGGTCCAAAACTTGGACCCAAACACTATATGGGTCTTGGTCCATATAATACTCTACTTTAAGCCCTATTCATGTGGGTGTATTAAAGATTGTATATAATTAGACCTAGCAGCCATCTTAGCTATTAAACGACAAATTACATAGCTTGAAATCTAATATCGGGTGATTGTAACCTTGTTGCCAATAATACCGGTATATGATGGTAAAAAAAGGGCAAAAAAAAAAAAGAAAAAAAGAAGTTCATAGTGAGGGTGACAAGAGACCCGAGACCCGACGAGTCTAGGTATGGGTCCAATTTTTGGACCCGACGGGTTGGGTACGGGTCCAAAACCTGGACCCGAATCTATTCGGGTATGGGTCTGGTTCTCCAACCAGTTGGACCCAACTCATATCCAACTCGTTGCCACCCCTAATTAATGGTAAAAAAGATAAAAAGATAAAAAAAAGCTCATAGTTATACGACATATGATGGTAAAAAATTGATAAAAAAAAAACTCATCATATTCATATTCATAAGGTAGCAATGGATCTGACCAGACCAGGGACCCAACAGGTCTAAGTATGGGTCCAAATTTTGGACCCGAATACTATTTGGGTTCAGGATCGAGTCCATGTGTAGCCGGATCGAACTTGTACCGGACTCGTTGCAACTCGTAGCCCTATCACTTGAGCCAAATAAAACAAATAAAAAATCATATAAAATTTGAAATGACCGACAGACTTGGCCCGGTCCTCATGGTCGCCCCGCCCCAGCCCTCGGGCTACAGTTTGTAACAAGCTCTTAATTTTCAGAGCCCGGTTGACCAAGCCGGTCGCGCCGCCCCGGCCGGTCTTGGCGGGCCGGATTTTTACTGATCATCGTCTCGATCACGTGGATCATGTCCCTCTTTTTCCAACGACCGTTCGCTTTTCGTCGCAACTCTCTTCAACCGTCCTTCTGTATTTGACGTTATCTCGCTTCAGACTCTTTCTCTCTTCTTTTTTCTCCTTCATCCCAAATGTCTCTTCTTTTTCTCTATCTTCAACGCCCATTCTCAGAGGGCAGAAACTAGGTTTCTCTCTCTCAATCATCCAAAACCAGCTCAAAGTAGGCCCGGATCCAAAGATCCAATTTTTTGGCCTCTCTCTCTCTCCTTTGAAAATTCACCAGGAGATAACTCATATAGGCCTCTCTCTCTAAACAACGCCACCCACCTCTGGTTTTTGGAGATGGGTACTGAACAACCTGCACTATTGGAGACCTCGGAGGCTTTGTTGGGCGGTTCTCAAAAGATTGGAGATGAATTTGAGGTTGTTGAGAAGATACCGCCATGGAAAGATCAGATCACATTCAGAGGCCTGTTTGTTAGTGCTATTCTTGGAGGTCTCTTCTGTGTAATTACTCATAAGCTCAATCTCACAGTCGGGGTAATTCCCTCTCTTAATGTCGCTGCTGGTTTGTTGGGTTTTTTCTTGATCAAGACATGGACTGGTTTTGTATCCCAATTAGGTATTTGGACTACTCCTTTTACCAGACAAGAAAACACTGTTATCCAGACCTGCGTTGTTGCCTGCTATGGCCTCGCATTCAGCGGTGAGCTCTTTCTGTCTAGAATTGTTTTTGAGGATTATGTAAAAACCCATTCTCTCTAGAATTGTTTTTGAGGCCAGTGAGGATGAGAGTATGAGAAAAAAACAATCAGCTAGTATTGCACCCATATGTTTTAGTTAGAATAGCAAAAACTTGTTAACAACAATTTCCTTTTATAATTAATTTTTTTCTGTTGTGAGAAGTTGCTATTCTTCTTAGCTTAATTTTTGAGGCTAAGACTGGGAATTCTTTTATGAAAAGTCTGTTTTTCATCTAGTGTCCGTAGAATGCAGTGCATCTCTTAAATTTATATGTTTCATATATTTTGGGTAGGTTGGATTTCACATGTTATATACTATACATTTGTGTATATATTACATGTATACTGTCCTTAGGAGCTCTGGTCCTTAGACCGCTGGTTCGAATTGCCCTAGCCAGATTTTCTTTGCCTTGCGAAAAGAAAAAGGAAAAGATAAATTTTGTTCCTCTTAGTGGTTCATCATCATGAATTTTTCATGGTTGGATTCTATCATTTCATTCTTTGCATCACTGTGTGAAAAAAAGGCAGCACCCTATTCCTGGCTTATATTAGTATCTATTTATGGTGGCGGAGCTAGTTTCAGAGAACAAATCCATAATCAGGGAGAGAGAGAGAGAGAGAGAGAGAGAGAGAGAGAGACGTACAATAAAGTAGGTAGGTAGGTAAGGAACGAACTAAAACTAAACTAAACTTCGTTACGTAACGTAAGGTAACGGTACGTAAGGACGACTAATAACGAACCG